CCCATAAAACAATATTTTCCTCCATGTTTTAACCATCGAGAATGAGTCTCATAATTACTAGAAGGACATGCAAGAGCACCCTTGGTATTTCAACCAGACAAATCACCATATGCGGGAAAGTCATTTATAGTCCACATTAGAGCTGCACGCATTTGAAAGTTCTCTTTGGAAGAAATATCATAAGTTTGTACTCCAACATCCCATAATTCCTTCAATTCTTCAACTAAAGGCTGCATATACACATCTATGTCATTCGAAGGGGAGCTCGGACCAGGAATAAGCAATGATAGGATGAAAGAAGATCTTTTCATGCACATCCATGGAGGCAAATTATATGGGACCAATATGACCGGCCATATACTATAACTAGTACTCATATTCCCATAAGGGTTAAATCCATCTGCTGCCAACCCCAACCTGACATTGCGGGAGTCAAAGGAAAAATCTACATATTGAGAGTCGAATGTTTTCCAAGCCATAGAATCGGCAGGATGCCTCATTATGCCATCATTTGTACGACCTTCAGCATGCCATTTCATAGAAGCAGCAGTTTTTGAAGACATGAACAATCTCTGCAATCGAGGCTTCAAGGGAAACCACCGTAAAACCTTTGCAGCCTTTTTCTTTCTCTTTTTAGATGAAGTACTCATATTATGCTGCAAATCATTCTCATTTGTTGCCCACCTTGAAGCACCACAATGACACACTTCATCATTTGCATGTTCTTTCCAAAATAACATACAATCATTAGGACAAGCGTGAATCTTTTCATAACCGAGACCTAAATCCTTAATAATCTTCTTGGCATCATAAGAGGCTTTCGGCAAATTTGCATCTGAAGGAAGCATATCTCTCAAAATTTGAAGCAACATTGTGAATGAGTGGTTGCTCCATCCATTAAGACATTTCAAGTGATACAGATGCACAATTGCTGACAACTTGCTAAAATTCTTGCACCCTTCATACAAAGGCTTCTCAGCATCTTTCAGTAAGTCGTAAAATTTTTGTGCCTCTTCATTAGGATCTTCTTGAGGTCGTTGCATGCTTGGACCTTGATCAGATGGTTCTGGTAAATTACTTTCTTCTGCATATTCATCTATATTTTGGGTGTGCATGGGAAACACGTCCCGCAACATGTCACGTATATCACCATACTCAGGTCGTATTTCTTCATGGCTTTGACTAGTTCTACTAGAAGTCGTTGCAGACATAATTTCCCCGTGAAGATACCAACAATTATAACCCGGACTAATTCCATAGGATACCAAGTGATCATGTACAACTTCTAGGGTCAACATGTATGAATTCACACATCTCATACATGGACATGAAATTGTTCTATCATTAGATACATTGTGAGAAGCAAACTCTAAAAATTCTTTAATCCCTTGCATATAATCTCTTGACAATCTACTCTTCTTCATCCAACTCTTATCCATTGATAATTAACTAAATTGAAGTACCATGAAACAAAATGAAAAGTTAAATATATTATATAAAGAGTTATCTATACTAATATAAAAAAGCACTACACAATTTAGTGTAGGTACACATAATTGAATTATTTGTATATGACTTTTCATGTATATCTTTTCCTAAAATTGAACTATTTTATATTTGATACGTTTCATTTTTTTTTTATTTGTTTTCTTCAATTTCATTTTCACAATTTATGTAGCATTTTAATTTTTTTGAGTTATGATTTTTTTTACCCTGTCGACTCCATTTGATGGAACATAAGGCTTAGTTTGGTTTGGTTATGATTTTTTGCTGTCTTTCACGTGCACATGCAAATACATAATGAAAGTTTGGTTGTTGAAGGTTACGAAAAATCTCTTGTACAATACATTATATGGTTTAAACTCCATGATTAAATTTAAGTATTACATAATAGATAAGAAAAATCTCTAATATAATACACTATTTCTAAGAAAATACTACAATTCTACCTTAGTACATAAATTTTTTATGAATTAAAGGGAAAACAATAACATTGAAAAAGTAATCTATACTAAACTTGTGGCACATCGATTGGTGTCCAGATTAGGGATTCAGCTTTTATTTGAGTAATTATAACATGCAGCATTCTACTCACGTAATGTATACAATGTACACGTATAGTTTTTTTAGTATCTGTGTTTCATAGTTAATAATGTGTCAAGAAAACAATCAGCTGCAAAGCTAAAGCTATTAGCGAATGGGTCCAACAATATATATCAAACTCTCAAAGAACTTCAAGTACTGCATACATAGTTCATTTCTAATCTCGCTCTTTTTTCGTCAGTTAAATCACATTCTTCTACAGCACCATTTATGCGTGTGACAAGTAACACCAAAGTAAATGATAATAAGCAGACACTGATATGAAAGAGAATTGTATAGGAATAGATGACATCAACATCATCAAGTTGTAGACACTAAATAGAAACAACTTAACTTGTAATATTAAATGTTTAGCACAACCAATATCAACAAAATTAATTCACAAGAAAGTCACTAATTAAGTGCTTCCCCTCCCAAAAAATTAATATTTTTTGTTCGCAGATACATGAAACGAAGAAGTAATAAACCAATAAACAATTAACATTATCCTCAAAAACTAACATTCCAATCCTGCAGCAACAGATTCCAACACTAATTTCAATCAAAGCTCACAACATAGCAGAGATTCACAGCTCAAGATGGCATAAATAACATACCATAGTGCAAAAATAGTTACCGACCGTGGTAAAATAAAATGACATCATTCGGAAGAAATCAAAAAGCTGCTCAAGTCTCCCAAATGGATAACTCTCAAACAGCCTAATGGATAACTCTCAAACAATGAAACCTAGTTGTGCCACCAGTACACTAGGAGCAGCCCCATTGCACATCTGAATGTACCCAAAGCATCAATGACAGCAGACCAGTGCAGAACAGCAAAAGCCAACCACAAGCCACAACCCCCTTACTATTAACACTACCTCCCACCCTTACGGTCATGCATAACAGAGTTTAACACACAGAGTTGAGAAGCCAAGAATTCAGACCAGTTGCAGGACACACCAGAAAGCATAATACCCATTATGCACACCAGAAAGCACACTAGAAAAAATTTGAATATTTGTATTGTTTGAATATAAATTTTCAAACAAAAATAAAATATTTGACTATAAACTTCAAAACAAAAATAAACTACAAAACAAAAATGAATAGTGTCTGCAAATTTTCTGTGATGTGCATCCCAGAATTTTTTTCCCCCTGATTTGAGTAAAATTTCCCCCTATTATGCCAGCTCACAAATAAGAGTGCCTTGGTGACGGAAAGAAATATGGTTCTAAGGGATTGTTTGGCTTAGCTAAAAAGTCACAAAAAAAAATCATAAAATCATAAAAAAGGTCAAAAATTCCTTCCATTCTCTCTACTATTTGCATGTTTTTGTGTAGAAGTCAAAATCATTCCCAAACACTAATTTTTTTCACCTCATATTTTAACTAAATAGGCAGTAAAAAGTTGATTTCCAAACAGACCATAATTTCTATGACCAATTATTGCAAGTGCTTGAAGAACTAAAAGTGGTTATGCAATATATCCATCAGGACATGACAAGCCGTAGCACCCACAAAACATCCCTAACCTCAAGAAGACAAAAGTTGAACTTAATATTTATATGTTAATGGAAACATCTAGTGGGTTCACTTTCTCAAATAATAATATAAGGAGATATATGTACATGAGTATCATTTATGCCACCATTGTTGTTCCAGAAAGAAAACTCTTTGTGCAAAATTGTAACTTTTTTTGTTTGAGAAAAACAGTGGTTTTGGCTGCTATAAGTTATTCCATGTTAAGTGCTTCTACAAACTCTCTGTTGCAGTTGACTTAGTGGTGATGCATTCTCCTCAATATTCTTTTTTTTATCATTCTTAATTTTATTTCCTTTTTCTTTTTTCTTGGTTTATTTTTCCCCTTGACTCTCCTTAATGGAGGTAATTAAATGGGATAATCTCCCAAGGTGTTATAGTGATTGGGTTGATCTCTATGGCCCGTTAATCTCAATCTTTGAATTTTTGTTGAACATACTACTGGTTAATCTCAATCTTCTTCAAATTTTCATTGAACATACTATACATGAACTGATTATCAACATATAGTGTTAGCATTTTATATTTAAAAGTTCTCTAATATCATACGCATCTATTTAATAGATATATAACAACAACCATGGGAATTCCCCAAAAGAGATAGTCAAGGGATGTCCTCTGGGCTCATTGCTTCCCAAAGGGGCTAGTCAAGGGATGTCCTTTGGGTTCATTGCCCCTTGTAGATTTCTGATGTGTGACTCGGCACATGGAAATCCAGGTCGAGGTCAGTACATACATATATTGAATGCCAACAATTTTTTTTTTCTATTTTCTAAATTATTTTTCCAAATCAAAATCATTCAAGATGTTCATGAAATCCTTCAAAGTAGAGAAGTTTTGGAGATATTAGAAGCACTGAATGGAGTGGCAAGTCGTAGATTAACAATGAATTTCATTGACCCAAACTTGACCGAAGACAGTATAGGAAAAACATAGACAGAGATAGTAGAAGAAATGGAGAATGGCAGAGAGATAAACCGAGAAACAAGAAGAAAGAAAGGGATAGAGAAAGAGAAACAGAGAAAGCAAACTGACCTTGAAATCACAGTGGGACGATGATGAATGCTGCGGGGAAGGATGAACGCCGATACGTCGCCGCGGGGGAGGATGAACTCTGATGCTTCGCCAAACAGGGGTGCTGGACTAGGGCACAGTTTTAGATGAGTTGAACGATTTTATTTTATTTTTTTTGGACTGAAATTCTGATATGTTATCCACTCCTCACGAAAAAAAAATCTGATTTCGCGCGAAATCAGAATTCGATTTGGCGGGCCTCTATTTTGATTGGCTTTTTAGTAACGGTTGTGTACAAACCGTCATTATTAAAAAATATATTGCAGCGTTTTAGGCAAAAAATGTTACTAAAAATTTAATTTTTAGTTGTGGTTAATAACCGCTACAATAGCCCATCTGTAGCAGCATTTTTTAGGCCGCTACAATAAAAAACGCTGCTAAAACCTGATTTTCTTGTAGTGTTTGTTTCCATATAGTCTATGAGCAGCATTAGCCTCAATAGACTAACCCTAGAATTGCATACGAAGCACAAACGCAAAGATCACCATGAACGAGTCAGAAATAGAGTCTGTTTGAGGATGTTAATATGCACACAGGGACTAAAGCTTACAGATCTGAACGAAAGCAATCAATCGATCAAATCCAAAGAAAGAGCGTTCGATCACGATCAATAGACTAAAAATCAATCAACAGATCGATCTGTGTTCTTTTCAACATATATTAGTATATCTATCAAACAGATCTGAGATCGTAGATATAGATCTAAGTTCGTATATATATAAACAAAATCAAAAAATCAGAGAATGAGACTCACAAAATTAATCTTCAAATAGGACTGATTGAGAGCTTTGAGCCAAGACGAAGTGAGTCAGATAGAGATTACGATCGTAAATCGGAGCCTACGATGCTCGATCTAGTGAACTTTCACCATAAGAAAGAGGAGTGATGAAGCCCTAGATCTAACTGGGACTAAGAGAAATGGAAAAATGAAAAATGCGTGGGCCTTAAAAGGGGAATTATGCAAGTACACCAGGTTACACGTGTGTTTTTTAAAATGAGTTGGTTAAAAAATATTTTGAAAACCTTTGCAACAACGTTTTTAGAAAAAACGCCATATCAAAAACGTTGTTATAGGTCCATTTTCTTGTAGTGAGATAAACTAATGTAATTTACATGCATGTCTTTAAAATGAAATGCACAATGCCTCGAATTAATTGGTAACATGCTAGAGAGAAGAACAGTCCATAGCAACTGCATCAATCTCTTGTAACTGCAATGCCAGCTCCAAATTACTCAATACATCACTCATTGATGGCCGTTTAGATCCTGTTTCAGCCAAGCACTTCACTGCGACATCGACAAACACAGTTAAACACTGAGGTGCTATCTTTCCTCTTAGATGATGGTCAATCATCTGATCAATGGTTCCATTTCGATAGCAATGGAGTGCCCACTCAACTAAGGAAGCCCTCTCGTGATCTTCATCATCTACAATTGATATCACATGTTTCACAGCAGGCCTTCCACACAACACCTCAAACAACACCACTCCAAAAGAATAAACATCGGATTTGTCAGTCAGTTTACGTGTTCCCTTCACCACAGTGTAAACGTGTAAACGTACCCAAAAGTATCCTTCACCTCAGTGTAAACGTGTTCGCATGAAACTGTGGTGGGGCCTACCCTTGATAACCCAAAATCTGCAATCTTGGCTACCCATTCGTCATTTAACAATATGTTGGCTGTCTTCACATCACGGTGAATGATTGAATACTTTGCACCTGTATGAAGGTAATGTAGTC